ACCAATAACAAAAAAAATTTAGCCAAAGTCAAAGTAGACCTACTCAACAAAGTTAAATAAAAAAATCACAAAGAGCATCTATGATTGGTTAATGGCATACTTGGCACAATAGAATTTTAGGATTTGGTAGTGCATTAGAAAAGAATATTTTGAATAAATCAAAATAAAAAAAGAGAGTTAGTATGCGGCCTTTTATTAGAAAAGAGACATTCTACTAGAAACAAAAGGCCATCAATACAATTGAGAAATTACCTCACACTCTTGGCCAAGGTAGGTGATGATAATGACCTTGCAAACTATAAAAAAGTAATTATTAACAAAAAAAAATAGAGAAAGATAATAACAAAAGAAAGCAACTCAATATACAAAAATAAAATCTTAGAGTTGACAGATCTATGTAGAAGAAAAAAAACCTATTACAAAAAAATAGATATGAAAAATAAAAAAATATACATAAAAAGAAAAATTAACAAATATAATACAAGGATTGTTACATGCAATTTTGAGCAGATTGAAGGAGAAGACTTCTGCAAGACATTTTCTCTTATGGATTTTTGAAGCACCATCTTCACAACTATAGCACTAATTGCACAAAAATAATGGAACTTGAAACAATTTGATATAAAAATATCATTCTTAAATGATAAATTTAAAAAAGAAATATAGATGACTATCTTAAATAGTTTCAATTTTATCAAATTATGCATTGTTTTATAAATACAAAAATAAAGGGCCCTTAATTTCATATATAGATACAAACTTTGTTTGTGACATAGGTACCAAAAAATTGACCTCAAAAATATTATACAAGTTAGAAGGCTCATCTATGGATTGGTGTGGCAAAAACAAGCAATTGTGGTGTTTTCTACAACAAAGGCTAAATACAAGGTTTTCACCAAGGCAACTTAAGATATAGTGCACCTATGGAGAATGCTAAGCAAATTAAAATTCTACAAAAGAAAACTAACAATACTAAAGAATAATAATAAGAGTTGCATCAAGATTATGCAAAATCCAATCCTATATAGAAGAACAAAACATATCAAACTTCAACATCATTTTATTCAAGAAAAAATATTAGCATGAGATATAGAAGGTAATTATATTCATACATCTTTATAACATATAGATGTTCTCATTAAATTTCTAATTGCATCTTGTCATACTAGCATTTGAGAAGAAATTGGTATATCTTAATTATATTGATGACATCTATTGAATTTCAAGTGCCACTAAAAAAGAAAATAGTACTCAAATAATATACTCTATTGTTGTATGGTATGATTTTCTATCTAGAAAAATACTAGGTATCTAGTTGTAGAGAGTTTAGCTTTAACTTATTCGATTAGTTTCAATAAGTATTATTTTTTTATTATAGAAGCCAAAAAAATATAATAATATCAAAATATTTTTTTTGATAAATTTTTTTATATTTTATAAGCTTTATACAGATGGCTTTCTAAAGCATTTAGAAATTTCCTAACATCCTTTGCTGCACCAAACCATAAATAACTTTTTGCCAATAAGTTTGAGATTCTATAAGCTCAAAGAAAATCCATAATCTTCTTACAAATATCCATCTTTATATCATAATTTTGCCACAGCTCCACATCTCCATTTTTAATATTAATATTAAGTTTTGGCTCCCAAAAATCCCTTTATTTTGCATAAAATGTCCAAATTATAGCAACTCCCTTTGAAAATATTTTTCTCCATTAAAAGATTTTTTTTCTCTAAACTTTAGAAATTTATAACTCTTGATCTAAAAATTTAATTTATCTCAAATTTTGAAATAATATAGAATTTATCCTTAAGCTCTATTATAAAAAAAATGAACCATAAATCTACTACAAATCGTTTGGCATCTTAGAAATCCTAGCAAGTATTTTAAAACTTAATTTATAAGCACCAAAATATTATTTTCTCCATATCTCAAAAATCCAAACTCCAAATGCTACAAAATTCATGTATAAAGTTTATTAACATGATAACATATATTCTTAAAAAAAATTAGCTAAAATCTTATCAAATTACTCAAGATATAGTTCAAAATACAACCACTAGTAAATCAAATCATTTACTACCTTTAGATTGCAAGTATTGACTTCAACTTCCTATAACTTCTTCATTCCAACTTAAAATTCATCAAGTAATATGTAAAAAAGTATAGCCAAAAAAATTCTCTTTCCAACCTTAGTTGCCGATCCTTCATTACTTTCTATATGCATGCATTATGTCCAAAAGAGTGATAGTAGATACAAAACCAACATCTTAACTTTGAATGCCCATAATTCTTTTATAAAAATTCCAAATCACACAAAATTTGTACCAAAACCATAGTCAAAAGTCTAAACTCTCTAATCTTAGCTTCCTAAGTTCAAATGACCTTAAAAGAATAATCCTAATCCCTGATAAGATCTCAGGCAGCCTCCTTGAAGCCCATTGGGCATGCCTTTTGGTGAATAGCAATAGAGATTTTTATCATCTATCTCTATTCATCCATATGGATGTCCTAACTATTCTTTTTGCTACCAAAATTCCTTTCCAATCTTTTTCTTTATAAGATTTATATAATATATGTCTTAAATACCAAATGAAAGAAACAAAATAAGATTTCAAGACTCAACAATGTCTAATAAAGGTGGCTTTAAATATATAAAACTATTATTAATCTGAAATCAACTTCAATAATAGCCCTTTTAAATTAACCATTTCAAAGTAGTAATCTAACCATATTTTGTGACTAAATAAAAACTAATAATGTGGCTCTTACCACATTATATAGTAAATTATACATTAAATATTTATGTGCGTTATTTTCATATAATAGCCGAACCACAACATGACACTGTGCAAGCACATATTTCTCTTAGATTGTTATAATATCATTAGTATTTGTTTCAAATATTACGCTTGAAATATCATTTACTATTATATAGTCTTTTGCTAAGCATCAAGTGACTAGAGCACTTACTATAATAAGAAGATGAAGAAATAGCAATTATGATAGATTTAGGACTCTCTCTTAAAATTGCTTCAAAATTTCTAACTTTTGCACAAAATCTCCCTTTGACATCTAATGGTCTTTGATCCTTAGCTCAAACATAGCTAATGTAATTGGGTGTATCAATCCTTACAAAATTTAAAATGGACCACTTCATAGACGACTCAATCTCTAAAGCCTAAACATAAATATAAAAAACAGATTGTTAAAAGTAAGCAATTGTGGAAAAAACCTTATCTCATACTAGATCATCAGGAAGAAAAGGCATAAGAGTCAAAGAAATAGGATTATAGGCAAACTCAAATCCTTTGAACAAGCAAAATGTTGAAGCCGCTTGAGAATCAGTATTGCCATCTGAAGACTCGGTGTTTGATTCCAAAGAAGAACCAAGGTGAGCATCCACATAATGAAGAACTAAGTCACAGATCCTCCAAGCAACGCTTACAAAAATCCAGATATCAAGAAGCAAAGCCCCCCACTACAATAGGAAATAGAAAAAGCTAAAAAAATGTATTGTACTGGATATTAATAGGTCAAAGTACTGATGTATTAGTTGAGTACCGTTGTAAGGTGCTATAAAGGCCGACAAAGGTCTTGCAAAGACTTGGCAGATACGCTTTTCACTCGAGACATACTATATAGGTGAGAGTGCATTCAAGAGGAAGTGTTAGAAATGAACAAATCACCGTCCCCCCCTACATATTATCCATCTAAATGTTGATGTCAGCTTACAGAATCAGTTTGGGTTACTTAGCTATCCTGACAAGATGAAAGCTTAACAGCACAGCTAAGCATATTGAGGGCCACTACTATTAGTATGGTTGATATCTCTGTATGTTGAGAAGTAAAGCCCGATTTCTTACAATGTTCACACAGCTAACAACGTTTCTCTTCACAAACGCAAATCAAATTGCAAGCCTGCAAACCTCACATTTAAAATGTGCTTGATCAGACACTTGTACAGGTTTTGGCAAGAGTCTGTACAGAGGCACCACAACAGGATATCCTGTTTACACAAAGATGTGGGTTGTTGGAGGAAAGAAATAGATCGACTAGTAAAGATAGGCACAATTCACGATACAAATCATGTGGTATTTCAGAAGCCAGCTGATTATTTCTATGAGTGGAGAGGATTGAAATAGAGTGATTTGTTAGTCTGCGAATCAGAAATCCCAAGTCGTGAAATCATCTCTGCATGGAGTTGATCGCGCTTACCATCGACCTTGTGCTAAGAGATTGCCGTTTCTGCTGTACTGATAAACATGTGAACTATCACGGTAAGTGCTGAGGTGGGCTTCAGCAGATCATGCCTAAGATCAAGAGTTATTTCGATGCAGGAATTGGTTGTGATCAGACTTAGTGCATACCGTGCAGGGGATAGTGTTGCACAGATTTTAAATCGATTTATATTAAGATGTTGAAGGAGGCTCATACCATTGTATACGGCACAGTTTCTTAATCAGAATGCTTTCATTGTGCATGTTGGGATTACACCAACTGCAGTTTGTTGTAAAGATTATTGCCTAAGTTCGGAATAAAAGCTGCTGGATGTGTCACATTATACTGCGCTGCTAACAGTCTTATTAGTAATAGGAATTAATAGTGTCCACTGGTATAAACAAGAGGAATGTTCTTCTGGCCACGGTTTTTCCCTTCCTCACCTTTACCGTCAGATCGTTTACAGCGAGAAGTTTAAGAGGGGATTTCCATTCTCAATTGACTGTACATTACACATCAATCATTATGCACATTTTCTAGTGATTTTTCTATTCACTGAAGATTGAGCTGTTATGATCTGATATTAAGCTGTTCGATCACTTGTTTCACATGTCCGAAACATTCTGTGGGTTCGGATTTCTATCATTTGAATTGGGTCATGGCGATTGAATTGAAATGATTTGGAGCTTCCACACATACTCAAAAGAATTTTAGTATATCGTGACGCTACCTCTGTATCTCCGTGTCGGTAGAGCATTCACCACTTCAGGACCAGCAATGAGCCATTTGAAAACATAAATAACCGCAGGTGTAATTGACAGCTCTCAATGTCCAAAACACAACTAAATCTTAACTCATAACACCGCATACTCACGGAGGGGGTTCTAAAGTAGCTACTTAGAACTTACAATATACACTACAGAATGTGGTTGCCAGAACCAAAGAGCTTATCCATTCCCGATTGGCACTAAACAGCTACACCAATCCTTCGCGACCTGTCCCTTGCATTCTTGGATTAGCAACTCGCGCTCAGCTGGTCATTGAACTCAATCTGCAAGACACGCGACAAGACTAATCAGTTCTGTATTTAATGAACCACAACAATGTCCACACAGCAGACAATGCACACCCTGAATGTGGGACAAGGCCAAGTCTTACTTTGACGTCAGGTTCGAGACTTTGATCGACTTGAATCGATACGATCCTCGTAGATCGACAGGTCAAATTGAGAGCCTCAGTTCAGCACATCCCTATATCCTAATTGATGCCGGAGTATAATCCGTTACGAGGAAGCAGTTTCTCCTCAAGAATTAATGAAGTCCACAGTGCAAACCCTGAACGCAAACTGTGTGAAGAGTATTAGTATCAGAGCATTCATGGCATATCTTCCTCGACCGCCCGATACGTATTTATATTTGTGAGTCTATCCTACAAGACGTCCACTAAGCCGTGGTTAAGGCAGAAATGCATGTGCTTATCACAGATCCACGCGACGTGCTTCGAAGGTAATCCATTGTCGAGGTAGCAGACTTTGTGAAGGCCAAACAAGGCAGGGATATTCTTGCCCTTCATATAGTGAATAAGCCAGTCCTCGGCTGCCATCATCTCCTCCGGCGTGAAGGATAGCCGACCCGTCACGTCAGGTCGCTCATCGTTATCGTCGTCATCAGCAACAATGCCCATCAGGCGCATGCGCTCGGCTTCGGTGAGCATTGTAGGGAAACCCCCAGCCGCGAGCTCACTGATGCGCAACAGCATGGAAATGAGCTTCAGACCCCACAGCATGTGAGGGCGGACGCTTCGGACCGACTTCTCGTCGCAGCGCATGATCCCACCAACCTGGTGCTCAATCATGTGGATGCCATCGCGGTGCTCGCACATGAGGTGGAATTTTCGGGAGTAGGATCCCGGGGTAAGCTTCGTGACTAGACGCTCGCTGTTTACTGAATCACCACCAGTGCTGAGATAGACGAGATGCGGGACCTTGCCATCTTGTAACAAAAATGGAAGGTCAATCACACTGTCGATGTTGCGTGACAATGACGGAAAGAGCTTCTTCTGGAGCGCGTTGATCTCCACGCTTCGGTCTGCAATTCTCGATTCAAGGAGTTGAGAGGCCATCTCAGATGGACGAGGCAAGAGAGAGACAGTGCGTCCAACGCGGCGTGATGGAGGTGGCGTAAGAGGACTAAGTGGACTGCTGTGCGTGCCAGTCGAATCTGGCGACCTTCTGCGACTGACTTCAGAATCGATCTTCTCGAGGGTATCCAGGAATCTGCTCAAAACATCTTCCCAGTGTGCGGGTCCAAGCAAAACCTCGGCACTGTTAGCCTTCAATCCGTGGCTCTCTGCCATACTCTTCTTCCAAATATACTCATAGTCTAACTTTCCAGACGCCATCACCTTCAGCTTCAAATCCTCGACTCCAATACACTGATCCTTAGTCCTCTTTTTACGCACCCACAGCTCTCTCACACACTGAGGACGCATGATCTCCTCAATCAGAACTACTCCTTGGCAACCTTCCGTAGGGGAAGCACAAAACTCACGCGTAGGTTTGAGGACATTTTCCTCAACCGTAGCCCACGTCTCCACGGTGTCTTTCGACGACCGCACAAGGATGTCCACCTGACACTCCTCTGGCCCATTGTACTCGATCAAAAACTCCAGTCCACTGAACACAAATGAGATGAAATTCTTCTCAATAGTGTAACGCGCGTCCTGAACTCCCGAAAATTTCTTCTGCAAGAAAACCTGCATAGACAGGAACATTCCCCATCACCCGTTATCTCACACAGAATGCGGCATGCGTAACTAAAAGCTTAAGACGGTGCATTATTCAGTAACAACACATCATCAACTTGCGGAGAGGAAGATTGCGTCCCTACCTGAAGCCTAGGGAAGAACCCGAGAGTTAAGGTTGTCAATTCGGGGTTCTCGCACTTCAACCTCCAGCCGACGTGCAGCAGCTCGTCATCTGAAACCTGGTCATAGCCATTTGCCCAGCTGAGGGGCCTTTCCCCTCTCGCTGCCGCTTCACTTGGGTTGCTCAGTGAGGCGGGAATGTAGATTCCAGAGGTTTTGTCACCAGGGTTTTGCTCGAAACACAAATTCAGCTTCACCATCAGCTGAACAAGATCCTCAGGGATCACTCCCCTCACCTTTCGCCCTTTGAAGAGAGGATTCTTATTCTTGCAAAACGAAGCCTCTAGAACTTTTTTCAAGTGCTCACGCTTAGTGAATCCATGCTCGTCAATTAACGGGTGTTTCAGGACAAGCAGGGTGCTGTCCAAGCTGAGAATCCTGCCCATGATCTCGTGGCAGAACCAATTAGGATCCACCACCATGAAGTCCAGCCCGTCGAAGAAGAGAAGTTCCCCGGCATCATGCATAGCCCTCGCCACGGCCTTCTGTCTCTCCTCCGCGACCTTGGAGTCCTGACCTTGTAGACGCTTCAGTGCTGGTACCTTACTGCAGAGGAGACTAAAGTCAGACCACTTGATGAGTGGCTTGTCCGGGTGCTGATTCTTCCATTCGTTCAATTTCGTTTGCAACTGGCTACAAGCATCGAAGACCTTCGGCACTCGATCAAGAATGCTGACGATCCGCTTCTGCATCGCCTTCTGAACGGGCTCGATGGATTTCCGAGATCTAGCGTCCGCCACATGAAACTCCGTAATGTTGATTACTTTCGAGAACTGAACTCTCAGCTTCTCTACTTGCGGTTTGAAATGCGCAATAAGATCGGTCTTAGGAAATTTGTCAGAATGCGTGAAGATAACCGTTACATTCGGCAGCATGTGCACAGACTGGCGCGTGTTGGACGCTATGAATCGGAGCCAGTATCGCAGCTCGTGATCGACGACTTTCTCGTCTTTGAGCTCATATTTACCACCCTTGCCTTGCGGCACAGACATATCGCACAGAAGCACAAAAGTACACGCGCTTCCCTGAGAGCTCAAATTGGGCACAACAAGGTCGTGGAAGGCATGAAACTCCTCGTGACCAGCAAGGTCCCATATGGAGATCTGGACATTATCTTCCACAATCACCTGTACTTCAATTCCCACTGTCTGTGATTCTTTTCTTCCCGCTTTGAAGATCTTCGAATTAGAGATGGCTTCTTTGCAAGCTGCAGAGGTTTTGAGACGAACCGAGGAGGAAGTTCTCTTGATGTTGCTGTACACCATTGTTTTCCGGAAGGTCGTTTTCCCTGTGATAACATAGTCGATGAAGATTACATTACGGAAATTAAATGAAAATCGAGAAACCATAGGTATATTTGATCGACAACGTGAGCTAACCTGCAAAAGGAATGCCGCAGAGGAACACTCTTGCGGCAGTGGGAGTCACGGTCCCCATTCCCTTGAATACCTCCATGAACTTCTCGGCGTTCCTCCGTAACTGGGCCTTTATAACCGCGTCGTGACCTTTGCGAGAGAGGGGAGTGCCCTCAACGCCCAATTGTTCAAGCCAGGGGTTTGTCACTAGAAGGTCCAAGATTGTGGCCAAAACTTTCTCTCCGGCGACACCATCGCAGCCTCTCAAGTCAAGAAATCTCAAAGATTGGTTTCTCTTCAAGGAATGCAACAGTGCGAGAACGTCTTTGATCTGCCAGGAGCGGACACTAAATTGAAGGTCTAATCTGACGAGAGTATTGTTGGTCGCCAACATGTTTGCTAGTATAGGCGCTCCTGCCCTGCTGATGAAGCTGTGACGGATGATGATCTCTCGGAACGTAGTGTTGGGTTGTTCTTTAGTGGCTGGATCCATTGTGATGGTCTTCACAATTTCCTTAAGCCCCTCGACGTCAACAGGATTGTAGGACAGGTCAAGCACCTTGAGATTTTTATTTGACATTAGAGCGAGGGCAAGTGCCTGCACACCAACATAGTCAATTTCACAATTCTTCAAAGCAATTTCTTCGAGGGAAGAATTCCGACACAACACATTCGCGATGTTTTCGGCCCCTTTGTTACCAATCTGGCCATCGCCGCGCGCTCCTAAGCACTTGAATCCCTTAATCTCCAGCTTTTGGAGGGTTTGATTTGGCTCCGACCCGGAGAATGGCTTCGTCAAGACCGCCAGAGCATCGGCATCGATTCGCGCGTACAGAGTTAGACCTCGTAGAAAACGATTACGTCGCAACGCCAGCGCCAAATTGTCCGCAACCTGAAGGGTGATGTCAACCAGCCCCAACTGAAGCTCCCTGATTCCGGTGTTCACCAGAAACATCTCTGCAATGTGCTTCACGCACTCGGAGTTCAACGGCTGCTGAAATCTATTGTCACTGTAAACACTAAGCCTTTGGAGCGTCCGATTCTTCTGCAATGCGGTACAAAGCTCCGCGACAATTACATCAGATTGTACATAATCAATCTCTAGTGTAACGGATGAAACTGCGGGACTGGATACGAGCGCTGTAATGACCCTGGAGCATATCTGGTGGTCAGTGTACTCAGACCGATCAGGGCCCGCAAATCGGTACAATAGCCTACGAACGAATTTGTCGTCGGCAAGAGTGAGCGACACAGAGCAATTGTCCGAATCCGACTTGATCCGCGGACAGTAGTGGATGTACAAATCCACGATTTTCTCTGGCGGGTTCTTCAGTGCGCGAAGCAAACCGTCTATGTCAACTTCTGAATACTTCTGCGGCTTTGGCCCGGATTCCTTCTCAATGAGCGGCATGGGGTTGTACATAGCCAGCGCACTCTGCGCCTTCGGCGGCAGACTAAGTGTGGTGGGCGCAGGCGGGGGTAGAACATATCCATCACTGGTCGTAGGAGAGAGACCCATCGAAGTGCCGCACGCGGGAGGAGTACACATTGCAGAAAAACTCGCGCCAAAAACTCTGTGACCCCAGATCTGCGAAGTCTGGGCGTCCTTGAATAGAGAGTCTATCCTTCGCGAGTACAGGGACTCTGATTAATCCGGCACAGATCCTGCTCACAGCATCATCTCTTCAACTATGAGTGGAGACTCTGCATCGACGAGAAACGATTTCCAATGAGCCAGCTCTAATGCGAGCCTGTCGGTGTAAAACAGTCTGGTGCATCTATGCGTGATCTGTGGTGGTTGCAAATCCAAAGATCTTACCATCAGTCGAACGTAAAATTTCACTCACAACTGCAATACTTCAACATCAGAATGTCTCCAGAGAGGTATCAAGAATCCGATAGATGTCAACAAATTCAGTTAGGAGTGTCGAATGGTTACCGATTCAAGCTCTCACTACCAGATGCACGACGCCGTCATAGAAGTCGAAAAGGCTGGATCCTCGGAACGAATTCGTGGTGATCAACTTCGTCATCCAAGTCCATCCTCAAGACTGCCTCCGGCATTAAAAAAAAATAAGCAACAGACTCACTATTCTAGCTCCAAACAACGCCTGCGCCAACCTCCTCCTGAACTGCAATACGAATCCGATGCCCAGACACACTCCAGCAGCAGCTTCCAGTCCACTCAGGCCTCTGAAGTTTACAATATCACCACCCCAAAACCCACATGCAGAGTCTAGCGAGTCGTGGTGCTCTACGGGAAGATTCTTCCACACCACCTGGAAGAAGGCCCGCACCAATTATGCTCGGGTGCACACAACCCCAAGAAACGAAATTCAAACGGTACCCCGACGAGCTTCCGAGTGAAATTCAGGGACTGGGCCCGGGCCTTCCACTCACTCTCAAACTGACCAACGTCACCACATGACTACCTTGGGAAGGATGGGAACTGTATCAAATCCAGTCCAGTCGAGGACTAATTGAGGGCGGGTTCGTGCGAATAATGAAATCGGATTTCGAGGGATTCCTAGGGGCCTCATTAGCTGGACAGTGTGCAATTCACCAACGCACCACCTTGCCTGCCTGCGTGGAGGAAGGGAAGGAAAGGAAAGGCAAGGAAAAGGAAATCTTTCGTCATCGCAACCTCTCACAAACCACCACCTGATACGCGTCGCCTCACGTTGCAGTCAGGCGCACGCTGCGAAGCCTCCTCGGCGTTTTGACCCCCGTCGGGAACAGCAAGGACGTTGCGTCGTGCGATCTTCTATCTAACGACCCACAATCAATTCTCATCCCCCGCAACGCCGCTCTCGAACGGACGCTACAAATCAGCTCCCCATTTCCGCCGTCCACTTTTTCCATCGATAAAGTTACTCCCAAGTATATCAATTTCTCGCCATAACAATTACCGTTACAATTATTTTTACGCAGCTGTTCGGTGAACTTCGGCACATAGTTTCCACCCATTCCACGATTATTCTAATTACAGCACGTTGTCTTTCCCACTCTCTCTCCCTCGCTAGATTGCAAGCGGCAGTCACCGAGGATATCATACTCGTCTAAAAACAAACACCCACGAAGAGGGGCATGTGTTCTTCCTTCACATGTAGCTGGCGATCTCACATGGAATCATAGTCTCGTCCTTTTTCCTTCCTGCCACAATACCTGCCTGCCATCCTTCCGTCCTTCCATCTTTCTATTATCTTCTTCTGCTTCTTCTTCTTCTTCTTCTTCTTCTCCGCATCCGATTCTGCACGCTGGAGTTTCTGAAGGCATAACTGCAGATCACTGTCTTGCACGAAAGGATAGAGTGAGCTTCGGCATATATTTATAATCTACAGCATCGCCAGAAGGATGTGCTTTTGCTGGTGCTTCAGTACAATGGAAGATTCTAAAGAGAAAGGCTGCTGCTGCTCCTCCAGCAATCAACAGGGTAAGTAAGTAAGTAACACAGTCGCCACTCTGCAGCATTGTGTCTGTCTAGTCAAGTCCATCCGACGAGGAGCCTCTTTCTCTTCATCCGTATATTCTTACATCCGTGTCGTCTCTATCCATCCATACCCACCTTCGTACATCCATTTCATCAAAAATTAAAATTATTGTGAAATTATTCTTAAGAAATATTTAAATAAAACTAAATAATGCTTAAATAATAAAATTTAAATTTTTATGTTTTAATTTTTGAGTTTAACATTAATAGTAGTTAGATTAATAGTCAAATTAAACACAAATAAATAAATTTCACATTTTTTTATTTTTGAAAATAGATATTTCAACTGTTGTTTATTGATGTATGTGTGTGAATATATAGATATATATATATATATATATATATAAGCTTCTATGCCCTTTCAAATATTTGGGTAGTTTGGGTAGTTTTTGAAGTTTATATGAAAATCCTATAGACTTTTAGAACCTATTGTATTCTGGTACAATCTTTTGTAGTAGACTCTGCAAGATTTAGATTAAGAATTTTCTCACTCTTGCCAATAAAAATTTATACAATATACCCACACCTTTACATAATTTTACTTTCCAACTGTATTTGATATCAATCTAATAATATTCATTGTTGTTCTGTTTTGGTTTTTTTTGTTTTGTTTTGTTTCTTTTCTTTTCTTTTCTCTCTCTCTTTCTCTCTTTTTGATGTTTTTGGTCAAATTCTTGTGTGCTTCATATGACACTATATTAGTTATAGAAGTGTACAGCAGTAATGCATAAAACCTAAAATATTAATCAGAGATAATGATCAATTTGAAGTATGGAGATAGACTTGGGATTGTTTACGCTCCATGAACATAGTTTGAGGGTAACCTTTTTCAAAAAACTAATAAATTCTATCTAAAATATATATATATATATATATATATATCAAGTCATGGCTGCAGGCTGGCATCTACACACACTCACACAGGAATACAAACTTTTCATGCATGGTTTACGATTCTAAGGGCAGTAATGTCATGCCATTAGCCATACACGGTAATGCAAGACCCTTTTCAGCAAGAGCGGTGATGAGTGACCAGATTGCACCGCAAGGTTGAAGGCACGGCCATGGGTCAAACCCTAACTCACCCACACCCAACTTCAATGGAACTTCACCTCGGTACAGCAGCCACAGAGCCCGGTTAACCAGGAACGAATTCCAATCGAAAACAAACAAATGCAATAAACAAATACATGCAATACAAGGCAAGTGATAACTGCTCCGTCTGCAGGGCACCGTCAAAATAAGTTTAATTTCCCGCTTTATTAAGCATCGTAAAGCACCGTTGAAGGGACCAAGTTGTTGTTGTTCCCCGTGAGCATCTGGTTGGTACCCACAACTCTACGATGAGTTCCAAGCCTACTCAGACAGATGCACAGAAACACACACAGACAGACAGACCATCGCAGCTTTCCGATCCGAGATCCACAAACAAGCCTCTCTCTGCACTTCTCGTTTACAATGCTGCCAGAACATTCTCTCTATTTTTGGAAGGAGCAGTTGGGTGTAAGTTAACTGCCCCACAGATGGGCAAAAACCCCAAAGGTATTCGGGTATGCCGGTGAATTTCACGGATAAAAAAACTAGTTTTTGTCAGTGCGGGAAGCATCGAAACCCAGCCAGAATAAAGCGATCAGTATCATTTGAATCCACAAATATAGTATGCGATGTAGAGGTTATTCTGGGCTGCTCGACAGGAGGTGCCAGCCGGGCTGGGGCACCTTGACCCCGAGTTTTGTGACGATGTGGGCATGCAGGCTCTGGATCTTGAAGACTTTTTCTCGCCGGTCTACCTGCTTGACCGCCATTATTGATGCATAACCCTACCCCCTTTCCTGGGTTTGCGACCTTCTAATGAAGGTAGCTATCGTTGTGGTTACTACTCTCCACCCTGGCAAGAGGGGATGGATGTCACCAGGCCGATCCATTTCCAGGTTCATATCCACCGTCAGCTCCATTATTACGAGGGTTCCTGAGGAAGATCGACAAGGAGATAGTTAGGGTTTGGGGCCAATTGTTTTACAACCGATCATGCCCGGCCAAGAATTGCACAATGTACTCATGTATCTTACCACGTTGTCTCTTTTATTTTCAAAGAAACCAACAGAGCTACATAAAATATTAAAAAGTTGTCAATATGCCAAGTATGTTTAGCGAGAAAGAGAGAGAGACTGAGATAAAGAAAGTGATGAAGGTTTGTCTAACTATACAGTCATACAAATTTATACACGGATCAAAAAACGAGATATTATTTGGAAACCAAATCTCATTCGTCCAAATGGAAATATTGCTTGTATTGAAAATTATGAAACGCAGAAACACTCGGTTGTGAATGGAAAGTTTTAAATATGTTTAAAATTTCATTTAATTTTGGATTTCTTCATTAACTTATTATTTGTCATTACTCATGCACTGCACTACATGTTCAATGATTGAAACTGGCGCAAAGTGTGAGGATTCTGTTTTCCTTACTTTTTCTTTTTAATAAACAAAAAAAATAATAAATAAATAAAAACACAGATGTATCATATTTGTGACAAGCTAACCTCACAAGGGCACCACTTCAGAGGGGGAATGTCAACTGTGCAATAGATCATAAAATATATTTCTCCACTTGGGAAGGGTCAGAGAATATGCTTTTATTTATGTCTGTGCCAGTGTTGTGTTTCTAGCCTGTGGTTCCCAATGCCTAAGATAATGGTGTTTCTTAAGGATTCCAACTTGTCATGCATTATGTGTGTGTGTGTGTGTGTGTCTGTCTGTCTATCTATCTATCTATCTATCTATCTATCTATATATATGTGTCAATGGAGGAATATTGTTAAAGTTATTGATGAAAAAATTCCATGGTGTCAATTTAACTTAGTGATTGAATACTGTCAGCTGCATTTTATTATTTTTTTTTACTACAATATTTTACATGTATAATAAAATAATAATGTATACTGAAAACAAGGCATGTGCATTATATGCATATATTTTACACAATTTATTGTACATAGATGGCAGTTAAATTTATCATGAACAGATTTATAAAAGTTGCATGTTTTGTACAGCCATAATGCCTGGAGCTATGTGTATGATGATAATTCAATATATCTATATGCATGCAAAAAATCTGTGTACCAAAGCTACAACATCAGCAACATCAATGAAAAAAATAAAACCACACATGGGTTCCTAAACATTATCAAAAGCAAAGGATTCAAAAATATGTGAATAAAAGTACAGTTCATAATGTCATGTGCTTGGGAACGTGCATGACCTGTAAAAAGACAATTTGAAAATGTTGAAAAAATAAATATTACAAACACATATGTATATATATATATATATATATCACTGATAATGTAAAACATAAGTACATCTTAAATGTTTTAAAGTTTTGTCTCATACACATACATACACATGCATACTATTATGCATATAGATTTTATAGATTAAAACCAATTCAAATATCATGCATATTATCAAAGATATTATGTACATTTTACATTATTTGATGTGTATATTTTATATTTTTCTCTCACTCCCTTCATTGTGACCTTCTAGGTTTTGCAACTATAAGAAAATGTACAACTATTAGTTCTTGTTCAAGGGTTACAAAGTTGTGTTTATTGGTGAATTTTAGAATGTATACTACAGACTTATAAATTTTATGTGAACTAGTGATTATTTTCAAAACAAATACAACATTTATTTATTTATTCATTTATTTATTTTACAGTTATTGGCTTTTGTTCTTCTGAAACATGATGCTGATACAATTTACTAGCCATAATTAGATATCATTACACAATTGGCTCTAAACACAGTTCAACTTTTAATGCAGTATATACATAGTAATAAGATATTGAAAATATAAAAAGCTGAAATGTAGATGTAGGTGAAATTTGTTGAAGATGCTAATCAAAGAATATCTTGTTGTTGTTGTTGTTGTTGTTAGTGTAGCGTATTTTTTTGCACATTTTTGTTCATTTTGGCAATTTTATGTTGACTTAATAATATATTGTAACAAACCTCATGGTAAATTATACAC